AATAATGTGCGAAAACGATTTTTTACCAGTAAAATACACTTTTTCCTACTTGCCAAATGCAATAAAATACAGATCACTTAAATACGAGCAACCTGAATTTGTCTAAATATTATTATATATTTTATTTAATGAATATTCAGTTTACATTTCTGCAATAACTAAGAATTAGAAATAAGAGATGCAGAGTTACCTATAAAATATGAGCACAATAATTACTTAACATAAAAGTACTATATTTAGGTTTACAGATTTGTTTACTCTGGTTTACTAACACAGTAATTGGCTATTATTATGCAATATTAGCAATTTATACTGCGGCTATAAAATATTCTGAAATTAAATTTATTTTCTGAGTTACTAATGATTTGTTTATTTTATTCCTTCTTAAAATAACCTGAAATATAAGTGGATAATATTTAGTGCTTTCATATTTTATGTTGGAAATGTCATTGTTATATTTTTTATCGTTTCGATATTTATCATATGAGAACCCGATAATTTAGAAAAAATAACACTGGAATTTAATCAATTTTCCAACGAGTTATATGTGCGTACTATCACTGAGTAGGCAATGGTTCTTAATATTTATAATTAATTTGGGGTTGTTACTTGGTTTGATATTTTCTCCAAAACAATTTTGTTTCTCCAATATATCTCTTGGCGGGACTGAAAATACATATTGGTCATTACCACCATCCGTATCATCGCCATATCTTCACTATTACGAAGAAGAAAAATTACCCCCGTAATAGGTTAGGGGAGTAATTTTAAGAAGTAATAATAACACAAGAAGGCAAAATGTGATTGAATCAAGCCAGAAACTAGTCAATTTCCGAATCCCATAATTACTTCATCAGGTTTTACAGATATACTAAGCTAAATATTCCGAAAATCACGATTCTTCACTATACTTAGGTAAGTATACTTACCTAAATATAGTGAAGTTTACTTAAGTATACTGAAGTCAATTATTATCAACGTCATTGTAAAACACACTTTTGTTGAACATGACACCATGCATGAACCAATAGCTCAAAGAAGAGATGGATCTGCATTTTTATATAATAAGAATACAATTTGCAAAGAAAATGTAAAAGCTACTGATTTATAAATTAACGATAGACGGAATCTGTTCAGGTAATATAGAGGTAAATAAAACAATTAGAAATTATATAACTTAATATAGCTTAACTACAACTTAAAATTAATAATTCGCAGGAAGGTTGATTAGAAGTAACCAACAAACCTGAGAAAAAAATTTTGATGAAATTTTGATAGAGGTTGGAAATACCTTTAAAGGAATTCAACAAGCAAAGATTGTAACCTCTTTGTAGCAGAGATATAAGGTGATATAGACAAGGGACTCAAATTCACTTTTCTATTTATAATTACCTAGGCTACTGTAAAACATTCTTAGAGAAAATATGAACATTTTTAGATACTGTTGTAGTATACCTAAAATGTGATAGTGAGGTGATAAAGTGCCTTGTTCTTTTGTCGTTCAAATTTTCAGAAGATACAATATATCAAGTTAAACTTAGGCATCCTAAAATATAGTAATATAAATTTGTCAACGTATATATCCTTTTTAAAGGGAGAAACATTTCTGGATAACAAAGAATAATTATTTTGCTGATGTACTTTATTGAAAACTGGTTATTATCAGGAATCATATTTAGACAAAAAAATGACAAAATGACGTAGGTCTGAGAAATTCCTCTAGAAGCAGTTTCCTCAATTTTCTTGTTAATATCTTTGTATCAGGACAACGCTTAATGACATTTTTAAATATAAATCTGAACCTGTTTTAGATAGAGATTGCCTATTTGTCATGTCTTTGAGTATATTTCTTGAATATGTAAGAAAATAACACACAAGGTGTTATTTTTTGGAGTATCCCATAACTTTTTTGTTCGCGTGTCTATGATTATCAAATTTGTTAGTACAATATTGGTTTCTAACATGTCCTATAACATGTTTTTAAGGTTATATTTTAAATTTTGAAAAGTAATAAAATAAGGTAAACAACATTTTCATCATACCTAGTAAAAATTAACACTGTGCATGAAATTACTTTGTAGTAAGGAGAGATTTATTTTGTCTATAAAGTTACTGAATGACATTTCTTAACACAGTTAAAAGTTAAGGACTAAACCCAAAAATATGTTTAACTGATGTTTTGCGACGCTACTCAACACAACAAGAATGTAGCACTATGTTCGTATATGACTCATTTACTTGAAGCAACTTGTTCCAGGCAATCCGATATCGTCGAGCATCGTCGAATGGTAGAACAAACATATCTCTGCCAGACATTTATTTTGTATTTCCAAAATAAAGAATGCTATAGTAAATATTACTTACATATATTTGCTGTCCTGAGTTTAGTTCAGATTAATACTGTTTACTTACATTTTTATTTACATGGATGAATACTTAAAAACATACAAAAACTAACAATTTATATTAAAACTATCAACTCTCATAGCTTTACTTTGTATAATATAGTCCTATCAAGTTGGCTAAATATGTTTGCTAATTGATAATGAATATATCTGAAAATAGTATACCTACATTAAAAATTGCGAAATCCGTTTTTTTTTTTCATGAATTTTGGGCACTTTGCTTTCTCAACAGAAGTACTAGGAAATGATTTTATATTTCGAACAAGAAGACATTTGCTATATTTTACATCTATATTAGATCACAAATTTTAATGTTAGTTCGGAAATTGATTTGCATTTCAGGAAAAAGTTTTCAACTGGACTGTTCTGAGAACTATCTACGACTTTCCCATATTCCATCCAATTTGTGATGGAGACATACATATTTCCAACCCTTTGTTCTTCTGTTAGCACCATAGTCGGGGTAATAACCTTTCCAGGACGTTAACTTTTTATTAACTGAACTTAACGAAACTTAAAAGTACATCTTTTCAGCATTTATTGATTAAAAACTAACTGAGAACGACAATTTCAAACATTTTTTAAATAATACGTCGTTGTACCCTTTACCCCCACCTCTCCATCTATGGTATTAACACCAACGGGATCAGTTTATAAAAAAAATGTGTCCACCGCAATCAAAATTGACCTGTTTTAACAGATCAGGAACATAACATATTCACATAATATTCTGCCCTTATCTATTTTGGCAAGGTTTCTGGAAATTTTCTTCGTATCTCGATGCAATATATAAAAACACAACTAAACGTTGCTTTTCGTGGATAGAAATAAATCTAAAAGCATTTTTTTTAAATAAAACAGAATATTTATACATTTTCTAGGTATTTCTTTGAGATAACGAGAAAATGTCCTAAAAATATGTTTTTACCAATTTTTTCACATTAAGGTAAAAAGTTAGGCAGGAAGAGGGGAATCAGTGTGATTTTTTTCTTTTTTGAAACAAAATAATTTCATACCTGAAAAATATTGATGGAAGATATAAAAAATATACTTACTAGTTCTGTATATGTTTAATAAAAAATCTAGTACACTAGATTACTATATTACTACACTCTTATATAATTAACATTTTCACCCTTATATATTTTAGCTTAACTATATTTTCTAGTAATTAAAAACAAACGTAAGTTAAATAAGTGTACCTATAAAATAGAGTAAATAAAATAATGTTGAATAGGATTAGATATTTACTTAATTTGAATTAGCAATCTTGTAGATAATATTAAGAAATTTACAAAGTTTAAATAATTTAATGATATTCTGTCAAAAAATTTAATGTGATTTTCGTATGCTGAAATGCTAAACATGGACGTTTTCAAAAAACATACCTTAAATACTCCTGAAATAGGTCCATGTTAATTTGAATCAGTATTGTATCACATTTACTCAAAAAGCAATTCCCGTTCTAGTACATATAGCAGAAAATATTAGCAAAAAAATATGTAAGGGCATGATATTGTTAAATAAAATGAGTTTTAAAATTTTGAGACAATACTCTGGACTATTAAAATTATCATCTTCTGTGAGCCTATCAAAAAGTTCATGGTACCAAAATAGAAAATAGAGAAAAAAAACTGTACTTACATTTTATTTAAAAAATCATAATTTAAAAGAAATAACAAAATTGAAATTCTAAACCGCCGCATCACATAACATAAGAGTCATTATAAAAGATATATGTGAAAGTTGATAAAGTTAAATAATAAAAAAATGTCACCAGTTATTTAATAAAAACGATGAGACCCCATGGACAATACTATGTGATCGCTAGATTTCAGTAGGTTTGTAGTACAAAAATTTTTAAAATTACTTTTTTTTAATTATTTTTTTTTAAATTACTTTTAAAGTAAAATAAAATAAATGTATTAATCGGAAGTCATTTAGCAGTATTTTCAAAATATAGGCCTTATTTTAATATCAGAATTAATTTAATTTTAATTGGCTATGCATTATAACAGGAAGGAAAATCCCAAACAAATAAATAAACTGTAGACCTATAATACGATAAAAAGTCCAGTATAAAAAAGTTAGTCAAAAGGTGTACCTACTGATGGGGCAAGTGGTTACAAGCTCAAAATTTATAAATTATTTTGTGTCAAATCTAAAATTAGTAATGCACCTAAAAACAAGCATTGTTTCTGAGATTTCTAATACATTCATTGTAAGCATTGAATGCATTTCTTAGACAAATAAAGTACCTATATATTTACTTTATCAAACGGTAGAATTTCTATGTAAATGTAATAAAAGATACACGAGAAGATATGCATTTACCTTAATATAATCTTAAATAAAATTTATATTCATGAATAAACTGGAAAATATGAAATCATGTTAATATTATTACATTATTTTACTAAATTATAATCCAATGTTTCGCCAGAACAAAGTACACGTATTGCATATTTAAAATTTTGTTAATCCGATACGACTTCATTAGCGTGCGATCAGAAGGAAACTAAAACAAATAAATATAATGTCACAAAGTGTATTTATTCTTTAATATCAATAAATAATATACATACGTGCTCTTAAATACATACAGTTATACATCTACATATTTTACAAATAAATATGTACATCGCACACGTTATTAACCCTATAAATACGAGAACAACCTTAAATGCATTAATTTTTTATTCGTGAGAGGAATGGGTAAATAAATAGTAGGAACATAAGCGAAAGTGTAATGCAACCATTCCTAATAAAAATATAAATTTAATGTACAAGATCATTAACAATTATTATCACATACAAACAAAATCAGCTGCCATCAACGATGGACAAGAATCGTCACGAAATAAAAGAACAGTTTGAATATAGATATTTATGTTTATATGGGTACTTGGCTAAGCTACTATAGGTACAACTAGTGTCCTTCATGAACAATTTCTCTCTAGGTCCGGTAAACAACTAACATTCGCGACGCATTCTACACCAACGGATTCGATAACAGTTCAGGTTGCACAGAAACTTCAAATATCAGTCTTTATATTTACAGCGTCTAAAAACCCGTACCCTCAGTATTTCTGCCCCACGCAGTCGGGTTGGTAGTACGTCGTTGCGGGGGTTCTGTAGTTGGGGGGACTAGGGGACACCCCCGCATGCCTGAAACCTGCTAACTGACAACTAGGGGCGGCACTGTTATCAAAAATAATGTCTCTGTAACCCGAAGCGGTCGTCGCCGACTCCGGTGACGTTTCCGGGCTGTACCAGGGACTGTAACGAGGAGCGGCCTCATCTGCTATGCTGTACTGGTGCTGGGGCGTCGCGCTAGGGCAATATGAGTACATACCTCCGGAAGAATGTAACCGTGTCGAGTTGGGGTAGCTGATGGCTTGGTCCCTCGTCGTCATTAAACTGTCCACGCTAAAGGCAGCCGCCGTATCCATGGCTTGGAGGGATGCCGTCACGTCACTCATGATGTGGTCTTGATGAACTATCACCGATTTCGGATCGCCGTATTTCGCGCTCATACAGTGACTCAGTTCGGTGTTGGGTTCCCTCTTCGGCTTGCATTCCAATTTATTTTTGGAATCCTCCAAAGGTTTATCGTCCCGTTTGGATAACGATGCTGGAGAATCGGACTGCATCTGTTGCCGTTTCGCTAGTTCCTCCTTCTCCCTAAGGGCGTCCTTCTTCTTGAACCGTCTCCGACGGCGGAGGTACGAGCCGTTGTCGAACATGTTGTACGAGTCGGGGTCCAAAGTCCAGTAGCTTCCTTTTCCGGGCTTCTTGTCGTCGCGGGGTACTTTCACGAAGCACTCGTTCAGGCTCAGGTTGTGCCTGATGGAATTCTGCCATCCCTGCTTGTTCTCGCGGTAGTAAGGAAAGCGCTCCATGATGAACTGGTAGATGCCGTTCAAGGTGATTTTCTTGTCGGGGGCGTTCTGGATGGCCATTGCGATCAAGGCGATGTATGAGTAAGGCGGCTTCACCATGTCCTTGGCGGTGCTGAGGGAATGTTGCTGGTGATGCCAAGCGGCGGCGTAGCCATAGCGGGAATACTGTTCGTAGGCGTAGGGGTTCGCGGTGGCGGTCACAGCGGCCGCCGCGGCGGCCGAAGAATAGCCGCCCCCGTAGCGGTTGTACGCGTTCTGGTGTTCAGTGAAGATGGTGTGCATGGTGTTGGTAAACAGGATAACGGATACGCCGGCACCACTTGTTTGTATAAACAAAACGGGGAAAGATAACAAATAAAGTCAAAGTTTCAGTCGGTGATTGGGAGAGCGGCGGAAATTTTCTAAAACGAAAACAGTTGTGTTATTTCAACGGTATAGTGCGTTTTGTGTTTTCATTCCAATCAATCTTCCGAAAACAAGTTTGCGTTCACTTAATATTATGATACACAACATAGGGCAGTTTACACAGAGATTAAGTAAAAACAGAGTGTGTTACTTCTCGCCGTGACACAATGTTACTAGTGAAAACAGACGGCCAGGGCAGGGAGCTGTTTGAATTAGTAAGGGGCCGGGTGCGGGGCCTGCGCGTAAGGGCCTCTCGGGGCACGCCTTCTCCGGCGCGGCCAATAACTCACCGGGCCCCGATCTCTCCCGCCTTTAATCAATCGGGCTACCATTACGGCACGGCTTTGTTCGCAATGCAATTACCCACAGCGCACGCCTTCCGCCGGGCCAGTGCCAATTTTTTCGCATCACCCCCCCGGAAGAGCACGGGGAACCCGAAGGAGTGCCACCAAGTCGAAATATAACATCAACAAACCCCCTTTAAAATTGGCGGGCGATTATCAAGGATCGCCTCTAGTTTATTTTTGCGTTAGATGAACACAAACACAAAAGTATGTCGGGTGGTGTGTACCTTGGCAGGCTAGGCGAGGACGGACGCGCGCCAGAGAAAACAATGTCGACGGCATTCATACAGACCGCCGTCGACTTTAACAGTTCAGTTCGCGATGCGGCTGGAGATTACCTCCGCTCCTCGCGCCTCATCCATGGAGATAGCCGCAGATCGCCGGTTGATGAACGGTCGAAACGTCACTTCCGCCAATGCGAGCACGTCCTGAACGACTCACGTCGCCGTTTCCATGGAAAGTTAACGCCGCTGTGGTAATCCAATAAAGTGATAGTAAAAGCACTCCGTCAAAGGTAAATATACAAATTACACGCATTATTTCGTATCTCCAAATCAATGAACAGGTCGAATCCACAACTAATACCATTCCATTTAGTTATTTGGAAAATATAGATGCTTTTTTGTTAACGTAGGTACACACATTCAGCGTTGAGCAAAGATTATATTTTCATATCTGTTATAAGATACCTTTTTACTCAATTTTTATGGTATTAAGTCAAATCGATTTCTAATAAAATTTTATCACATGAAGTCGACCAATGTTCTTGGATACCAGCAATCTAAGTATGCAAAACATACTCCATAAACAAGGCCCCTGGCTGCTGATATTGTGGAGTTTTTTGCTTACTTAGATTTCTTGTAGTAAATAAATCTCGCTGCTATTTTATGAAATATAAATATTTTGAATTACAGCCTAAAAATACTCAATTGAACTGCTTTTTGTCCTTGATACACAAGTACTTTATACTCATTTTTGTCTGTTATATAATTTGTTCAGGCCCATTTACTTTGACGTTTGTTAAAACCAAGTAATTTTAAATTCGTTTTATTTTCAAGTAAATTTTATTGGGAAAATAAGTGTCACTATAAAAACTGCCACGTATTTGTGTTAACATAATCACCGAAATTCTGTATTAGGTACAATTTGAACCTTGAACAGTCTCCTGGTAGAGGTCTGTCTTCTAGTAAATTTACCAAAAAAGTGTAAGCATTTTCATTACAGACCTAAAGCGAAACAGTTTTTATATACCTATCTAGGCATAATTTAGTTCATTAAAAAAAATTTTTAAGCGAGTAATAAAATAAAGAATTTATATTAGGTTCATGAATGAGACTAAATTCTACAATTATTTCGGATCTCCAAATCAATGAGCCATAGCTGAATCCAAAACTAGTACCTATAATTCCAATATATTGTGGAGAAAACTTTTTTTTTTAATTCCACGTTCGGAGTTGTGTAAAGATAATATTTTCATCTATATTACCTATTACATATTATTATAAGTTAACGATACTCTTTTTTACTCAATTTTTAAGGTATTATGCCAAATCGATCAAATTCAAAACCTTTTTTCTAAAAAACCTTATCAAATGAAGTCGGCCAATGTTTTTCGATACCAGAGATCTAGGTATACAAAACATATAGGCTATTAAATAGAGGATTTTAAAAGGAACTATGACGTTTAAGATATTTTATTACATGAATCGTTCAAATGGTCATTTTAAATGAAAAAACCGAGGAATGCTATTAAATTAGAGGGTGGAAATTGGAGACAGGGGTGAAAATGCACCCCTTTCAGTTTTTTAATTGCAGCTCGAAAACGAAACAAAATTTCCCTATAGTTCATAGGAAAAATTATTTAGAGAATTGAATTTCCCATCGAAATAACTTATTTGAAAAAATTAAAAGGAAAATTTTATGCAAAAAAATAATTAATAAACAATTTGAAAAAAAGCAACAAATTCGATTTTCTCATTTTTTTTAACTTTTTTTCTTCTAGTTTTTTTTTGAGTAAAGATAGGTTGATTGCTTCATAGAAAAAACAGCAGATAACATTTCCTTCAAAACAAGAGGTTGTAAAGTATTTTTGGATGAAAACTGAATGATATATAGCCGCTCAAACTTAGCCAATTTTTCGATTTTCGTCGCGTTTACCCTTATAATGAGTCTTTCATTAAGGATGTCTGGATTTAAAATGTAAAGAAAACACACAATTGAAGAGATAAATTTAAAATTTCTTTTTTATTTGAAAGGTAACATGTTGCCATTACATATGAAAAATAATGTTATTCAAATGACCTCCTACGCTGGCCGTACTGTAATCTTTTGGTCCAATTTATCATCACTTTTTCGCATAGATTGGCCTCTATTTCACCAATTACTCGTTCAATATTGGCTATTAAGTATCCAATTGTTGCTGGCTTATCGCTGTACACTTGTTACTTAATAAAACCCCACAAAAAAAGCCACAAGGCATTAAATCGCACGATCTAGGTGGATAATTGATAGGGCCATTTCTGGAGATTATTTCTTCACCAAATTGATTTTTCAATAAATTCATTGTTTCAGTGGCAGTATGGCACGTGCCACCATCCTGCTGGAAAAAATAATCTCCTAAATCGTTTTCTTCAAGTTTAGGAAACACATAATCCATTAACATAGCCCGATAACGTTCACAATTCACTGTAACGTGCTGTCCTTGTTCATTCTGGAAGAAGTAAGGCCCACCAGCATAAATACCGCACCACACAGTCACTTTTTCAGGATGTAAAGGGTTTTCAACAACGGCATGAGGATTTTTGTTGCTCCATATTCTGCAATTTTGTTTATTCACAAAACCATTCAACCAGAAATGCGCTTCATGAGTAAAGATGATTTTTCGATAAAAGAAAGGATCTTCTGTTAACTTTTCTAATGCCCAAGCAGCGAAACCACGACGTAATGCATGATCAGCAGGCTTTAATTCCTGCGTTAATTGAATTTTGTATGCATTAAACCCAAATCTTTACGTAAAATTCTCCAGGTAGTGGTTTGAGAAATGTTTAATGTTTGAGAGCGACGTGAAATGGACATCTCACTATCCTCTCTTACACTTCGATGTACTGCTTCAATATTTTCTTGTGTTCTTAAATTTTTTGCACGTACTGGTACAGCAACATCGTGCAAAGAAAATGTTGTTTCAAATTTGCTTACAAGACGACGAATATACCGTTCATTATGTTTAGTGCGACGACCATATTTTGTCGAAGTTCACGTAAAGTTTTCACAACAGAACACTGATTTTTATAATAAAATTTAATAATTTCCAACCGTTGTTCGAGCGTATACTTTTCCATGATGAAATGGCAATATGTACTGAATATGTTTGACAAATAACATATCAAATAATAATATGCAACGTTGCCATAATAATACATTGAAATCCGGACATCCCTATTGGAAAACCCATTACGTTATAATTCTCATTTTCTACAAAAAAGAAAGTAAATAGGACGTTCAAGGATTTTCATCACATGACTTGTTCGAAGGGTCATTAAAAATGAAAAACTGCGGGATGCTATTAAATTAGACGGTTGAAATTGAAGATAGGGGTGAAAATGTACTTTTGCAATTTTTTAGATATAGCACGAAAACGAAACAAAATTTCGGTATAGTTCATAGAAAAATTTTGTTGAGAATTGAATTTTTCATCGAAATGGCTTATTTAAAAAATGTAAAAGGAAAATTTTATGCAAAAAATCGTTAATAAACTATTTTAAAGAAAGCAAAAATAAGATTTTTTGATTTTTTTTTACTTTTTTTATAAAATAATTTAGTAAAAACTTGAGAATTCAAGTACAATAAAGTTTATTAATAATCTATATACAGTGTGTATGATGGATGGAGTTGACAAGAGGAGAAACTCTTTTGTTTTTGACTATCGAAAAATGTCCATTCTTTATAAAAAGTTCTGCCCCTCGAAAAAATGAAACTGTCATACAAACATCTTACATTAGATATACAGGGTGCTCATAAATTAAAAAAACACGAAAATACTGAAAAGAGAGGTACCATTATTTATTATTTTACACAACATTTTTGTAAACCAAATCTGTTAATAATCTCAAAAAATGTCCTAATACAAATTTTAAAATTTTAAAGCTGAAAGGGGTGCATTTTCACCCCTATCTCCAATTTCCACCCTCCAATTTAATAGCACTCCGCGGTTTTTTCATCTGAAATGACCCTTTGAACGATTCATGCAATAAAATTACTTGAACGTCATAGTTTGTTTTAACCCCGTTTTTTGGATATAGCTGCTGAGATTGTGCAGATATATTATCCTTACCTAGATTTCTGGTATTCGTTGCTATTTTATAAATTATTATAAATGTTCTGAATTGCGGCCTAAAAATATTCTTAATTCTTTCTAATTCTTAATACACAAGTACTTTATGCTAATGTTTGTCTGTTATTTAATTTGTTCAAGCTCATTACTTTGACATTTGTTAAAGCCAAGTAATTTTAGATATATTTTATTTTCATGTAAGT